GCCCCTCCTCCTCTGTCTTTTTAAGCTGCAGGATTAATTTCCCTGGTGTTCGAACAAGGGAGAAGACACTGGGAAATACCGCTCCTACCCCGCACGCTGAACCTGCCTTATACCTGTCTCACACCTGCCTCAACCTCAAGCCTCACTCCCTTAACAGAGTTACTGGATCGTATACCTGCCTCACACCTGCCTCAGACACCTTTATCTCTGCAGACTCACTTCCTCAATCTCAAACTTCACTCCCTTGACAGAGTTACTGGATCTTATTTCCTGCATGCCATTTCTACCATTGTGGAGCAGCACCCCTGACTGCCTATTGGGATTACCTTGCACTTAGCAACCACAGAGATCATTCACTGCAAAGGACTCTTAACAAGGCTACCTGGGGATAAGTCTGAGTTCCAGATAAATGCCAGTGCAATACTTCTAAACCGCAAGTACTAAATATACCAAATGACTGTCCATGTAATACTCCCTCTGGTATAAAATATCCTCTCACTGTTCTACTATCAAGTTGATAGCATGTGGAATATTCCTGCTTGAAGGTGCTTATTCATCCATCTGCATTACACAGAGGGAGTATGTGTGATACACTTCCCGCACTTGCAATTCGTTAGCCTGTGATACACTTCCCGCACTTGCATTCTATTACTCTCCAGGGAAGCTGGACATAACTCATTGCCTAAAGCAAGTTAAACCCCTCCACATCACTGTGAGTCATCGCACCCAGGAGTGCCCAGGGTGTTACACAGTGTAAATATAAAAGAAATGGATTATTAACACTTCCTAGTTATAACTTGCATGGACTAACCAATACATTTTGGAAGATAGATGTGATCAAGCTTCCTCAATCCAGCTACTCCAGGGCTAATTTGATTTTTAGTTTAATCCTAACAGAGTAATTTGTCGAACTCATTGTAAATTTTGGAAAATGCATACTTTAATCTGAACCCCTTTGAAGTCAATAGGGGGCAAATCTTGAAAACAAAATCAAGGGTAATAAGCAAGGGATTGTCAACAAAGGGTATGGGGAGCTGGTTATTGCCATGGGGTACATGTACCAATGCAAAAATAACTTTACAAGATACAGTTCAGAGTTGTGAGGGTCCTCCTTTTTATGTGACTTCAAGGGCAACATGGAGAAAACACCATTACTTTCTTATGATTGGGAGATGCCTTTAAGCTGTATGCAATATTACAAAACAGTACAATTATCATGGAAAGTGCCAGTGACACCGTATTCTGGCTAGGGATGCACCGATATATTGGCTGCAGAAACACATCGGCCGAAAATGGCATTTTTGGCTAAATGCCGAAAGTGCCATTTTCCTGCCAATACATCGGCGCATCCATGATTTCTTTCCTCCCCGCTGGGCGCTGCTCTGTGTCCCAGTGGGGAGGAGATAAAGTGACAGCCGGCCGAGCACTGCGGGACAAGAGCGTTGTGATCGGCCGGTATCTTTCCTCCCACACCGCTCGGCTGCCTATGACAGTGCGGCAGAGCAGTGTGGGGGCGGAGACAGCGCTGTCACACGAGGCTGGGCTCTCCTCTCGCACCGCTCACTCAGCCTCCTGTGACAGCGTGTCAGAGAGGAGAGCAGGCTACAAACACGCAGTGATCAGTGATTGCTGAGTGTTTGTACATAATTGAGCATATGGTACGGTTAATATATCCTCAATTATGAATGAATGGGAGTGATCTATATCCCCTCCTGTCCATTCATAATTGTGGTTATAGTAAGCATACTATATTCTCAAGTTATCAATGAACAGGAACACTCAGTATAGAGGATTCCTATTCATTGATAACAGGGGATACAGACATTAATTTCTATGTCGGTGCACCTCTAATTCTGCCATTATATATTTTGCATGTGTTATTGTTTATTTTTTACATTTTAGTTTGCAGCAGCAAACAGCAGCACCTCAATCTGATTCATTTTAACTTGAAGTCTTTTTAGGTAGATTTTGCTGCGATGCCAGATTTTTCTTATCTAACAGTAAGTTAGATAGTATAGCTTGTGATCTTCTTTTTTTTTTTTTACAGTATCACAGTATTATCTTTTTATAAAGTTTAATAAAATTTCAAAGCAAAAACATTTAAAAACCACAACTCCACATTCCAGAGATGAGGCAGTTGTTATGCTGAAATGAAAATGACAGTGCCATATTTCAGAGACAATAGCATACCGTGGCTGGAAAGTATGTGTATCAGCTTGATGGAGGGAAAACTCCAAAAATGGGAGAAGAAAAAATTAGGACAAAAGGTCCAGGAGAGATCCGACTAAGTGTAAAAATTAAATCAAATCATCAAATAAAGATTTATTGACAACCAATGAAAAACCTAGACTTCATCTGATTTGTCCAAGCGTCTCTGCTGACCTAACCTTAGTTTTTTTGTGGCATTTTCGTGATACCCTCCACGTAAGCAGCTTGATTGGGCTGCAATGTAAGTAAGGAGAGACAGGGCCGTTTTTATCATGAAATAAAAATTAGAGCGTATTGTTTTTCGGAGACAGCAACCAGAAACATTGTGCCGATGTGCTGCACATTATGTGTAGCAGTTTTACTAGGCCGCAATTGAAGAGAGACGAGGCAGGTTTTTATCATGAATTAAAATTTGGAGTGTACAATTTCTGAGACGGAAGCCTTTTAAAATATTTTACAGACTCCATAGTAAGAATTAAATTAGTTTTTGTAGGCCGCATTTTTACACAGAATTCAGCTTTTCATTAAATCCACATTAATTGTATATACAGTATGTCATAGAAAAAAATGCAGAAATGTTGTACAGACTGCATAGACAGTACTGCAGCAGTTAGTGTAGGTAAAAAAAAAAAAAACTGAGCACGCAGCTTTTCATGCCAAATAGCCACAATAAAGGACATAATTTTCAATGTAAAAAAAGGAATATTGTGCAGAGTGCATAGACAGTATTTCAACAATCTTGTGTAGGTTGCATTTGCAAAATCACACATCTCACGCAGCTCTAGAGGACAAATAATTTAAATGCATATTTTTCTGTGTAAAAATACAGGAATAGACAGTATTTTAGCAATCTTTTGTAGGTCACATTTGCAAAATCTTGCAGATTTTCAGGCCAAAAAAGTATATATTTTTCACTGTAAAAAAAAAAAAGGAATATTGTACAGACTACATTAGTAAACACTATGTTATAGGTGGCATTTTCAAAAATGTTCAACCCAAAAATCCAAATTTAAGTGTATAGATTTTACAGAAAGAAGGAAGAAATATTGTACCGACCGGACAATATTTAAGCACCTTTTATAGCCTACATTTTAAGCGGGAGAGAAAATCATCAGCCTTCAGTTCAAAAATCAGAATTAGAGTATATTATTTAATAGAATAAAGATGGCAAAATATTGTACTGACTCCATATAATGTATTTAAGCATTTTTACTAGGCCACTTTTTCAGGAAACCTTTAATGAAGACATCAACTTTAGAGTATTATTATTTCATAAATTTTAGTAGGCTACATTTTGAACAGTAGGGGCAACAATCGGCTTTGAAACTCAACTTCAGAGTATATTTTTGTCACAGAAAAAAACCCCAAAAAGTTTCCTCAATAACCTCATTCCGCCCATACACAACTCCCAGGGTTTGGCAGAGATAAAAAGTACCCCTGGATGCCTGCTGCCTGCTCTCAACCTCCTCAGTGCTGGCACCTAAACCCTCCTCCTCCTCATACTCCACTTTTGCCATCTGCTGCCTTACAGGGATGTCTATTGTTAAACAATCCCATAGGCACTGAGACACCAGGAAGTCCTTCTCTTCCTCCTACTGCTGTGCCTCCAGTGCCTGGTCTAATACACATGCAGAGTGTGTTTCACCAGGAGCACCAGAGGGATTGTATTGCTGATCCCCGACTGGTGGTGGCTCACCATTCTGGTTGCCTCTTTGATTGGTACCTTTTTGATTGGTGACAAAGAACCCCAGATCCCCTTACCCTGTCCTTATCCTGTAATTTAGCTCTCAGCTGTGAGCCGGGACATTCCCCACCCTGCAGTTACCCACAGACAAGGATGCTTGTGCTGACACCATTGACCTTATATGGCCACACGGCCATATAAGGTCAATGCCATTAACCAAATACAGCCATGTGAGCTTGGTAACTTCCCTGCCCCCAGCCTGTGACTGGACAGTGAAGTAGCAGCAATTGACCAATGAGCTAATTTTTCTTCTCTCTCCACCAGTTACCATGTTCTTTGTCAGCAAGTAGGCATGCAGAACATTTTATTGGCTACTAATACTACCCTCCATGTTCCAGTCTATGGGTTTGATTTATAAAACTTTTACCCAGCATATATTAATCAGCTCCATCTAGAGGCACCAGTGCCAGACGAATGGCATCCGCCTGGCTAAATGCTCGGTGGAAATTTTTATAAATAAAGTTTTACTGTTGGCATGCTCTGGTAATAACACTAGTTGTATTTAAATGTAATAATATTTAATCAATACATAACTGTATTCATTTGTGTTATTTTTATGGCTGCCTGGAGCTAGACTTTAAAAGTTAAAGGTTGGTAGACCTGAGTGGTGTATAACAGATAGTCAAGCTTTAACTGTTTCTTATTTATTTGCTCCTTGTAGACTTTTTTTTTTGCAGCTTTGCCTTGAGTTCTATCTTGCATACGTTGTGTCAGTCTGGAATTCATCCCACTCCAGTGTCAGTTGACGACCACGCCTTTTATGATTTTTATATGCCCATTAAATTCTCATGTGTTGTCTTTTTCACCAAGTGTGTGATAAAAAGTTGAATGAGCTAAAAATACCTTTCAAGATAGCTGGTGCAATGCTTTGTTTATGATTCAATGCCACATGCAGAGAAAATTGTACATCCTACAGCCTATTCTGCAAAAGTTCTACCTAGGTGGACAAGTGTGAAAAGAAGGTGTAATATAACTGTTCTTTATATGCTATGAATTTGAATAAACTGAATATTAAGGCTTATATCTTTTCACATATTTTCCTTTCTAGAACTGTTGATGCTGCTTTCTGTCCATGAACAGTACTGCAAAACATCATGGCCTCAGCACCATAGATCATCATACAGACCATCTGAGGATAGGAGTGTGGAGATTGTTTTGAACGAAGACGTGTCTTGGCTTACAAAACCTCACCATGGATATGCCAAAGCTTACAATTATGGCGTGCATGTTTATACTTCTTAATTCTTGGACATGTTGGTCAAAACCAAAGGGTTCACCACATATGAATTCTGTGAGGATCGAAGGAGACCTTATCTTTGGTGGTCTTTTCCCTGTACATGGAAGGGGGAGTGATGGCAGAGCATGTGGAGAACTTAAGAAGGAGAAAGGAATACACCGCTTAGAAGCAATGCTGTATGCTCTTGATCGTATTAATGCTGATCCTGACCTCCTGCCCAATATCACATTAGGTGCTAGAATTTTGGACACCTGCTCCCGGGACACCCATGCTCTAGAGCAGTCCTTAAGCTTTGTCCAGCCCCTTATAGATAAGGACCGAGGAGAAGTGCGATGTCTCAGTGGTGGGAATCCGATTATTGCTCAGCCTGAGAGGGTAGTGGGAGTGATTGGAGCATCTTCAAGCTCTGTCTCTATCATGGTGGCCAATATATTGAGACTCTTCAAGGTGAGTACACTTTCATCTTTTTATTGTTTATGTATACACTAACTATTTTGTCATTATGTTATTTATATTTTATAGAAACTAGCATTTGATCATTGGATTAAGACTTTTTTGGTTCATTGCCTACCTCCAGAAGCGGCTAAGGGTTTCTTGAGCAGTGATAGTTGGATCTCCTGTCTTTTGATTACTACATACTTTTAGCATCAACGTCATTCTACAGAGACACAACAAACACATAAACAAAATAAACACAGCCCTTCAGATACCTAAAAAATTGTAATAATCAGCTTGCGATAGACATTAATTCATATAATGCAAAACATAAAAAATTGTTTATAAATAAAGTGCTCTGTGCCAACGCTGTTCGGCTATTCACTTTAGGCTGGTACGGCTGATTCCAGCCGTATATCGGCTGAAATCAGCCGTGCATCGGGTGGCTTCGTGTGGCTTCAGCATGTTCAACCGACCCGAATTGCAGAAGGAGTTCGACTCAGCCGATCCAACATCTGGATCGGCTAAGCCGAACCTCCGGCAGGCTACTCGCTGCTGTTCGGTCTATTCTCATAGATGCCGAACAGCAGTGAGTAAATAGCCGAATGCCGCTGAGCGGCATTCGGCTCTGCTGTTCTGCTCGGTCCCTCTGTGGTACCGAGCAGAATAGAAAAATTGTTAAAAAAGTAGAAAAAAAAATAGAAAATGATTGGGCGGAGCAAGCAGTGACAGCTAGCTCAGCCCAACTGTTTTCTATTGGCCGGGCGGTTCTGCTGCCGTCAACAAAATAGAACACACCATAGGAATGCATAGCTAGATTCCTATTGGCTATTTCACTTTGCAATAGCCAATAGCAAACTAGCTATTGCACCCACCCTCTGCTGCTGTCAAGCACCAGAGGGGGACCTGATGAAGAACTGCAGGTCCCCCTCTGCTGATTGACAGCACCAGTGGGCGGGTGCAATAGCTAGTTTGCTATTGGCTATTGCAAATTGAAATAGGCAATAGGACTCTAGCTATGCATTCCTATGGAGATTTCTTTTTTTTTTTTCTTCTGACGGCAGCCAATGGCTCCGATGTCAGAAGAAAAAAAAAGAAGAAAAAAAACGAGCAGGGAAAGGTTTACTCTGCTCGTTCGAGCAGCGTGAACCTTTCTGGGAGAAAGTGTTTCTCTCCCGGGTGGCCGGGAGACGGTAAGACTCCCAGAGCGTCCGGGAGAGAAAGGACAGATGGCGTTCCTGGTTACCAGGTAACCGGGAACGCCATCTGTCATTACACACTGAGAACACGGAGAGGCCGCTCTCAGTGTGTAATGACAGCATCCCTGGTTAGCTGGTAACCAGGGATGCCGATCTCTCTGAAAGTGGCCGGAGCCAGCTATGAGATGACGACTGGCTCCGCCCAGCTGTCAGAAGCAGGCTGTCGGCCAGCTTCGGCTTTCACCTCGGCTCAGTCGAACCGAGGCATATGCCTTCGGCTCGACTGAGCCGCTCGGCCAACTTCCGGAGCTGTACGGGCTCAAGTGAATAGCCCGTACAGCAGCCCTTCGGTTCTATTGAACCGAAGGGGTCCTGGGGCCGAAGCGAGCCGAAGGATCAGCCGGAGCTATGGCTAGATCATTCGGCAGTTTAGTGAATAGACCCCACTGAGTTGAAGAAAAATGGCAATGAGCAATTTAACTTGTTTCACATTATATGAATTGTTTACTGCAAATTGATGATTATAATTTTTTTGGTATCTTTGCATTGTGTTTATTTTGTTTCAAGTTTTTATTGGGTTCTTATTAGGTTAGCAGTTGATATATTTTTTAGATTTAAAAGATTAGTGCAGAACTTATCAATATAGTTAATGTTTCAGAGACTGAAGTGTGGGACCAGTGGAGCCTCCTCTACTCCTTTTTTAAAATAAATTATTTATTTAAACAGAAAACATTTTTACAAGAGTAAAACATGCATAAAAAAACAAAACAACAACTCAACAGGGGTGAATAAAAACTAACTACTTGGAGAAGGAGGAAATCCATACACCCTGTAGAAGACAAAAAAGAAAGAGGGGAAAGAGAAAAAAAAAGAGGGGGGGGGAGGGGAAAGGTAGGATGGGACGAAAGAAGCCAGTAGTAGCTAGATAACAAAAGGAAAGATGTCAGGTGCAGGAAGGAAAGGTCAATCAGTGCCCATCAGAGTATGATATTCTTTGGAAAGAAGGAACTCATTCAAATAAAACTATGTTGCACTAAACTTGGAGGAGGTGTCTTTGATTGAACTAGTGAGATCTTCCATATGCATAATATTGTTGATTTTGTGAAACCACAGCCTAATTGTGGGGAAGAGGTACTTTTTCCCAGAGCTGGAACACATGCCTGAGCAGCATTCAGCCTCCTCTACTTTTGTCTCTCAGGTAACTAACCACTGACAACAATGTTTTATTTGGCTGTTTGTAAGAGGGGCATTATTCCGACAGGCAACCAATGAATCCGGGCATTCTTCTCACTGACCTTCAATGTAAGTGGACATTACACTGACCCCCAGTGTAAGGGGGCACTTTTTCTGAATTACCCAAAATAATGATCTTGTATTAAATCTGGTGTTAAAATACTTTGGGTATTTAATACATCTATAACGTACTGATCATACTAATGAGCAATGCCCTGTAGATATAATAGCAGGGGTTCCCAATGACTTGAAATGTATTTTAAGGAGTTTCTCTGTGGTATAAAGGTTTAGAAAGGATGCTCTAGTAATATACTGCATGAATATGCATTTTTTGCTAGGAAATAAGACAGTTAAAATACTCTCCTGGTTCTGTCATTGTTCCTATGTACTCCATATTCATGTTATTCAGATTCCCTATATCCTTGGCAACTATGCACACATCCGTTACCTCTCAGATTTGGATTATGACCAGCACCTATTTTACGAGACAAGACACACAGACAGTAGCTCTACTATTCTAGACAGCCAATTATGAAAGCAGAATGTACAACTTGAGAGATCCCCAACACCTCCCTTGTTCTCTGTCCTGGTCTGGAGACAGAAGATATGCTCTCTACATGGCAGCTAAACTCATGCAAGGTCTGCCTGCTTCTACAAGCTAGCAATCACTGATCCTCAACGATTACACACTTGCATTGCGGCACATAAATCATAATTTATGACTTCTGGCACTGAAGACATTAAAAGAATATGTGGAGCATATGTCTTCCATGTTCGTACTGCTTGTGCTCAGATGCAGTACAGCTCAATGTACACATAGCAAAGTTTACCCTGATCTGGGTCTGTGATGACAGCTCTGAAAGCACAATGAAAAAAGGCAAAGGAAATAAGTTATATTTACAAATAGCTTGGTATCGCTGAATATATTAAAAGAAATAATGTGGTAAAAAACTAATTCACGTTTGTGTCACACGTCAAAAAGTAGCCCAAAATTCTTGCATAGCAGCCAGTGAATGCAGCAACAGAATTGGTGAAACAAGAAGTACAGACTTTTACTTTTACAGGAAAGCCATTGGGGTAGAGAATGAATATTGCTATGCTTCAGGGTTACTCATGAATCCAATATGAATAATTGTATCAGATGCAAAATTAGGTTTAGAACAGTCACTGTCTATTGAATGGCAATGATTTTTTGTTTCTTTAGACACTTAATAGAGGGTTGTGCAGTAGGAGCATTTGATGCACTTTTATGGGTTATATTTATGCATCAGTTAAATGATCTGCTTTGGGCTGACCTTGAATGCTCAGGAAACTCTGAGCAAAATAAAACCAATTCGGAACATTTCCTGCAGACACTAATGGACTAAATAGGATTTTAATGGTGATTTTAATTCTAAGAACGCAGTATGTGGGTGATTTTCAAACATCTCTCTTCTGTATTTTTCTAAAACAAGTCTTTGTTATCTGCTTGTCTATCATTCCTTGTTTATCCTTCTACTATCTAACGCAAACATCTCCCTTATCCCCTCACCTCAGTTCCCTAGTTAACTGACATTTCTAGGCATCCACACTTGTATAGGGGGTAGATTTCCCCACTTCTAATACATTTAAAACAACTCACCCACCATCTCTTGTTAACACAGTTAATATTATTTTCTTAATAGTGAATTTTCTGATATGCTGGGCTCTCTCACTTGCTCTCCTCTTGTCTTTTACATCTCCCTCCTCCACCTCTATCTCCCTTTTTCTCTTGCCGTAGTCTCCGCTCTGAATTCCCCTGAAGTGCTGATAGAATTAGATTTTCTGGGGAAGCTCTTAACGAGCAGTAATGCAGCATGAGAAGCCAATATTAAATAATTAATAGAGAGAAGAAAAGACAGTGAAAGAAAGGCAAGCTAAAGGGAGATAGAGACACAGAGTGACGGATGCATCTATACACACACACACACACACACACACACACACACACACACACACACGCACACGCACACACAAACAAAATAATTTATTCTGTGAACTCTATGGTGTGAAAAAGGAGGACAAGGAATAATTTATACTTAAAAATCGCCCATTCCTTAACTGAATGTGTTACTGAGCATTATGTTCTCTGTAATGTGCTGCAGAAAAAGCCTCCGCACTATATAAATGAGTAAAATAAAAATAATGTTAACTGCAGGGGAAGAGGTGGGGGAGTGACACACAGCAGAAAATGCTAGTTTAGGTTCTAATCATCTCGGTTGCACACCTAACTATAACGCACATAGATTTTTTTTCTTTGCCAATGTGTGTGATTGCTTTATAAAGTAGTCATCTTGAGTTCATGTTACACTGGTTTGCAAGAAAGGGTTTTAATGTATTTTTTAAGCGGAACTCCAGCCAAAAATAAAGATGAAAATGAATAGCCCATTAAGGTCGCTTTCACGTGGGCTTTATCCATTTTTAATCCCTTTGTTTGCAGATGATAAGCGGACAGTAATGTAACCGGATAGGCATGCAGATATTTACAGATGACCATTTGTAAACATCTGAGCTGTATAAGTCTGTGAGTAGAAACAGTTTTCAACTTTTTCCATTTATGGA